GGCGAGGTGTAGGTTCAATTTTTTCTAACAAATAAACAATTTATGTTTTTACTTTTTTACTTTTTATGTTGTTTTAAGTGTTTAATGGTACTTTTATTTGTTATAAAGTAGTAATTTGTTAATTAAAATACAACCTTTTATTTTTACTGTATTGGAACCGCTGAATTCACGGCCTACTGTTATTTATTTATCAAGCTCTTCAAATGGAGATAGGTACATAAATACACATTTAATTTTTTCCCGTATTTTCGGCCGGGTTATATTTTCGACCGAGGTAGTAAGAAAAATAGTATACACTACACGGGCAGAAAGTGTGAGAGCCCTGAACTGCGCGCCATGATGCCCGAGGCGCGCAGTGCAGGAATCTCACACTTTCTGCCCTTGTAGTGTAATATACTATTCTTTGTCATTACTGATGCATCGGTATTTCCAACAGTGCGTTGACTAACACAAGCTGCATATACAAGTTCTTCAGCAGGTACTTTTTCCCTTAATTCCCTGGTTTTTCGTCGCTTACTACGGTCACTTAATTCCATAAAGCATTTTGTTGGACGACCCGGTTTATATGCAGGTTCTGCATTAAAGTTTGGCAACTGAATAGAGCATGTGAGCCATTCTTCGTTATTACGAATAAAACGGTCTTCTTTTCGGCTAGCTACAATCCATCTTTTACTTAATTGAGTTTTGAGGTCATCAATAAATTATTATAAAAAAAACCTCAACTCACGATTTAAAATACCAATTTTATCGTTAGGACATTGAGTATTTTTAGCAAGTATTGTTAGTAAAAAATTGAACTTTTCTTCTATATTTTTATTTTTGCATTCTCGAATAATATCGTACAAAAACAAAATTAAATTATTGTAACCTAACCCAACCCAAAGAATATGAAAAGGGCGTACGAGGGCGCAAGATTTTTTTGTTTTATTTGACGAAGGAAATTCATATTTACCGGCTTGTTAAAAAAGAAATGCTTGACAAGCTTTGACAAGTAAACAAAAACACAATTTTTTATGTACTTTTATACAAATAATTCGAATTTTTACACTTCATATTTGTGTATCTCTTATGTGCAATATTTAACTACGAATTAATAAAATACTAGGTTAAAACAATCTTCTTACCTTCCACTTTCATATTCATAGTGTTTTTTTTTCAAAATTCAACACACAAAAGCACAATTTCAAATCTAATCTTGTAAATAAATACAAGCGCCAGAAACAAAGACGTTAGTTCAAACAATGACTGAGGTTTGACAGATGCTGCGGCAAGGGGTAAGGGCATATGTGACTTTGATTATTACAATTAGATAAAATGGTTATTAAACTTTAAAACTAAAAGATTTTAGCGGGTTTATATCGGACTTACTATTTTCGACTTTTAACCGGTTTTTACATGTAAATACTCCTATGTGCAACGGACAAACGGATACATGAAAATTAAGCTTTACACCAATCGAAAGAGCAGTAAATTTCCCATAGAATAAGCTTATATAAGCAATAAAAATACTTCCTTAGAACGAAAATTTAAGTATCGGAATACATAGAGTGACAAAAGGACGCCGGAGACACGCATTTGGTATATCACGTTGAAAACTGCAAATTTTCATTAAATTTTTCTCTCCTCCATGTGGATATAGATTGTTTGAAGTACTGGAATCATGATACTATTTACGATTTAACATTGGAGAACTCCGATTTATTGCTATTTAGTTTTTAAGAATACTCAAAGATTTTAGAAAAAACTGGCAACAGGGCTATGGGTCATTTAAACTAACAACTTATTTTATAGACATCAGTATGGTTTAAGAAAGGACAAGCCCACAACTGGGGCAATAGGGCAGTTGTTTTGAGTGGTATGGAGAACGGGAACGTTGTGTGGTGTGCTCTGACTTGCAAAAAGCTTTTGACTGTGTGCCTCATAACCTAAACAAACTACCACATTACCAAAATCATTTTAAAAAATAGGCAACAGTACACTTGTGTCAATAGCGCACAGTCCAGAAAGGCACATATAATGACAGACATACCACATGGGAGTGTCCTTGGTCCCATATTATACCTAATTCATTTGAATGATATTGGTCAGTCGGTCCCTGAAGATAACCTCGTTTTATTTGCGGATGATACTACCCTTATTCCAGCACATTATAACTTGAGTAATTAACATACCTGTGTTAAAAATGGTACAGACAAACTCAATGACTGGTTCAGTGCCAATTCCCTGAGTCCTAATAAAGATAAGACAATTATTAACTTTACTCATAGAAGTTTTACTGGAGTGGTCAGTGTCCAAGATTCTTAGGAATATATTTTGATTAGAAATTAAACTCGAAATTTGACGCAGCCCGAGTATTTGGGCTTTAGAGGCGTGCTATAAGAATGGGGTAGTTAAATTTTTTCTGACCTATTCTTTTTATGGTTTTATTCAAGGCGTTTTGTAATTATAAACATTTCTGTGAAATCGGAATTTCAATTGAGTTTACCGTTTTCGAGATATTTACAAAAAAAAATCTCCTAATTACGTCACTGGGCTATTGACAGCGTTGCCAGCTTTTTCTATGGTTGCCAGTGTGTTTAGTTTAAGATTCTAACGATAGATGGCGCCACGTTATAATATTTTAGTTTTAAAACCACTTGATCTATAATTTTAGTTGAGAAGAAGAAGAATTGATTTTTTGACGTTTCTTTTTTTCGGGTTATGTTTTTTTTTTAATTTAGATTAATGAAAATCAATGTTATTGTTATGTTATTTTTAATTGATATTAGATAAGTGATTTATTAATAACGGACTCCAAAGCAGAGGAATCTTGTGGAATGGTTGGTTACATTGAAAATTGGAGCTTTTAAACAAATAAAGTAAGTACCTATAATTATAATCATATTTTGTCGTAAATGCATTTCATTAGTATAATGCCTAGTTCTTTATATTCTTTTAGATATATCTTGGACTCTAAAATATCAAACAGTAATATGATACCTCGTAATAAGGAAGATAAGTACTTAATGAATTTGGTGAACATCTTTCATTCAACTGACAGTGACAGTATTTGTACATAACCTCTTCGGGTATTTTCTGACATAACCGAATGAAATCATTAACAAGACAACTTGACAACAGGGTAATTTTCAACCAATAGAAATCTTAGAATGTTGGTCACATGGCGAGGTTTGTGACGTCATAAAAATTTATATTTTTTGTAAATATCTCGAAAACGGTAAACTCAATTGAAATTCTGATTTCACAGAAATGTTTAATATTACAAAACGCCTTGAATAAAACCATAAAAAGTATAGGTCAAAAAAAAATTTAACTACCCCATTGTGTCTGGTAGCAGATATTGAGATTATTATTAAATTTTCCCAGCCTCCTCATTTATAAATCGATTTGTGGTGCCAGGGTTGAACTGTCAAATTATGACACACATGCGCCCAGAGGGATAAATACTCGTAATATTGTCCGGATAGTTATCACTTTTACGTTTGGAATCCAGTCGATTTCAATTATTATGGCCCAACTCTATTTAATTTGTTACCTGCTGAAATGACAGCAAAAAAGGCATTTGAGAAAAGAATGCGGGATTACCTAATAAATCATGCCTTTTATACAGTAAATGCTTTCAAAGAAAAATTGAAAAGTGTATGTATATATAATGTGTTGTCTCTCAAATTATTTGTACTTGTACTGTGATGTAACATATACTTCAACTGTGATGTCTTAATTGACGAGGTGCATTCCATTAGAAAAAAACATGATTCTTTTCAATTTTGCCATTTTTGATGAAAAACATCGATTTATTCTGCGATTAATGCTGATTTTCCCAAAGTGGTCCGACTTTTTTATTTTTTTTTAAATGAATTTTTTTTTTGTTTTTTAAATGTTTAATTATTTTCTTATAAAAACTTTCCTTTTATAATAAAATCAATTTAAGTAAATGGTTCTATGATATTTTTCACTTAATTTATAATCTAACCTAATAATTAAGGAGATGCATTCCAAAACTCAGCTTATCCATATTAGGTGATTTTAAGCAAAATGTCAAAAACCTTACACGTGAGTACTAACGCATATCAGGCCTACAGAATACTTTAAACAAAATAAAAAGGCATAAGTATAAAATGTATATACCTTGATTAAAAAGGTAGGTATAGCTCCAATTTGAAATAATTTAAAATTACCCATATAAGCCAGTTCTGACATGATATAACCTATAGATAAGGCAAGTTTTGGAACGATAGTCAATTTGTAAATGAATTTTAAATGAAATAAGGTGAGTTTTAGAATGTTATGACCTTTTTAGGGTATAGGGGGCTAAATGTTAAATGTACACCACTAACATTTTTATTAAAAAGTGGATAAGCGGAGTTTTGGAATGGACCTCCTCAATTATCATTGTGCTTATTTACAATTTTTTTAAATCTGTTTACTATTCAATTAATTTTCTTTAAATTTTACTTATACTGACAAGGTTGAACGTAATTTAAGTTTTCTGCTAATAAATATATTATTACTATTGATATTCAAGTTCTTCAAAAGATTTCTGTTTTATACTCAAAAAAGGTAGTAGTGTATGTCAATAAGCTGTTCATTCAAGGATTAGCAGTCTGTTATTAACAAGTCATGTCGTTGCATTATTTATTATTTTATTAAGAACCTGGCGTTTTATTCATAAAAAGGATATTAGTTAAGTATGTGGATACAGTTTAAGGGGTAATTTTAAGAAGTGATTCTGATCATAAAAACATGAGTCTGTAATTGCTACCTACATTTTCATCAGTGTTAAAAAAAGTAAAATTTATGTAAATATATAAACAAATTTGTTTATACATTTACATATTAATAAATGTAACATCATTTCACTTGTTCTTGAAAAATAGCTTTTAGAGGATAATTTCATGTGATTTTAATTTTATCTTTAAAAATATTGTTTAATATTTTGTACTGTAACCCTAATTGAGAAATTCCCTGTATAAAAAATAAATGGTAAATATGAAGTTTACCTTTGTCACTATTTGAACAAGAAGAGTTTTTTCTTGTTCTAGGCTTGGATTTTTTAGATTTGTTTCCAGCCATTTCATACCGACTTTCTGACAATTCACTCTGGCTATCTTCACTCTGTTGTTTGAGTTTTGCTCTTCTTTCATATGCCTCCTCTCGGCGTTTTCTCTCAAGTTCCTTTTTCTCCTTTTCCTTTTTAAGTTTCTCCACTTCCTCGTTAACAGGTTCTTTCTGAGGTAATTTTTCTTCAGATTCAATATCCTTTAAATACATTTTAATAAACTAACATTTTAGAACAATTAATATGGGTTTATACCTTTTTTAACCTACTTGAAGTTCTTCTTGGTTGATTTTCCAACAACCTTTTCCTGGCAAGCCTTTCCTTCTCCTTAAACAGTCTAGGCAACTCTGGTAAAAAATTTTCACTAAGCGTGTGGTACAGCTGTTTTTCAGCTTTAGAATTACTTTGGTTAAACTTTTTTGTCAACTGAAACCAGTCATCTTCTGTAAAACAAATAACCTGCCATATAGACTTTTTCTTGTTGTTTTTTGTTTTGAAGTCTTCACGATAAAGTCTTGTACCATAGAAATACCAATAAGCTGAATCGTTACTGTCATAACCCAAGGGCACAACTCTCAAACTATCAGCTTCCAAGTTTTTCAATTGGTCCAACACGTCCTCAGCATCTAAACGAAAATCACAAAGGCACTGGAGTATGTCAACTTTGGTGCGCAAAGGAAGCAACTGAAAGTCTATGTCAGTGTTGAAGGGGTTGTATCTATCATGTTCTTGGCATTTTTGACGAAAGAGACGCCTCAAGAACATCTGATAGTTAAATGTTGATATTTCATTGCTAGGCAGACATCCACTAAGAAGTCTCACTATAAGTTCTTGCAACCAAGATGTTTCTTCTGTTCCATCTGTTAGAAGGGCTTCCTCTAAATCCTGAAAATAACAAGTATGTTCTATTATAAATTACTAAAATTTTGAATTAAGCATAACTAATGATGCAAAAATATACTAGTATTTAAAAGCATTTTTCTAAAAATAAATAAAGCAGCCGAATGGTGGGTAAAAAAAATGTAGTTGGAATCCAATATTTATTATAATTTTTTGTAGAACTTTTCTTAAATCCCATGAATACACTTTTGTGAGGTGTTCTACATACAAGCATGCGCTAAAGAAAATTCTAAAGTAATTAAACGAAAATAATTAAAGCAAAAATGGCATGATTTCGGTTTTTACCTCGATATCAAAATCCAATAGGTTAAATGCTGAACGAAATAACGAACAAAAGTGAGCAATGCTTGGGACTTCCCACCATGATTGTATATCTTAAATAATAAAACAATTAAGAATACACTTTTTACCAATGGTACATTTTAAAGTATGTAAACAAATCTTATAAACACACCTAAAATACTTATAAAAGTAGGAAACATAACCTATTTGATGATCAATACATTCAATTTTCAACAAATTCCATTAAAATTCTTTCAACTGCGTGTTATATTCCATTTTAATAAATAAAGTAGATTATTTTTGTTTAGATATCATCTGTTGTCAAAAATAAAGCCATTTCTCAAACAAAACTCTAAAATGATAGGCTTCCCTTGTGTCACACTACTCAATAATGGATGCAGCGTCTATTTTTTGCGTCATACAAGACAGACATTTTTAAAAATCCACACAAACTTTACCAAAAAATATTTAAAAATATTTTTATTGACAATAAGAAACACTACACTTTTTTCTTGCACATACAAACGTCACTTACATCAAAATAAATTCTTCTAAAACCGGAAGTTAATGGATGAAATGCTTTTACCGCTTCTTATTGTCCAAAATGCGACCAATCAGAGCGCAGCATTTTGAACGGGTTAAAGACCTCGCCGCTAATTTAATGACGTTTGACAGATGTCAATAAATAAAATATCAGAAAATTTAAAAATGTCAAGATAAAGAAAATGTCTACATCCACATCAAAAAACGAGTTTCCTTTGGAAGCTCTAAAAGTAAATGGACCAAACTATTTAAAACATGCCTTAACAAGCTGTACAGATCCACTCAAAGCTATAGAAGAGTTTCAGGTAATGTTTGTAAATATCCTTGTATTGATTACAAAGATAATTGAATGTATACTTTAGGTAACAAATGGCATTCTTTTACCCTCCTTAAGACCAATGCTTCCTTTATTGGACCTACATGGAGTTCGTAGACTTGATTTTCATATGTCCGTAGTAGAGGTATAATTTTTAAAAATGTCTACAATTCTGTGCTTAATCATTTATTTTAGGAGCTAAGAGAGAAACTAATAACTCATATAAATGATATAGGCAAACAAGAAGGAAAAGAAAGGGACCAAAAACTTAAAGATCTTTTAGTTAAAAGTTTTCCAGTGGTTAAAGTAAAAGCTATGAGGCCCATTGTAATGGCAATTTTAAAAAATACCCCTCAAATTGATGATAATTATTTAAAAGTGTTGGTTAGAGATAGAGAACTTTATAATGACACAGATACTGAAGTAAAAAGACAAATTTGGAAGGATAATCAGTCTTTGTTTGGGGATGAAGTGTCACCTCTTTTAAGCCAGTATATTAGCGAAAAGGAGAATATTTTGTTTGATCACACCAATTTAAATGTTTTATTTTTTGGGCCATCACCGAAGGTAAACCATAAACCCATTATTACCTGTTTTATGTCAAACATTTCTTTATACTGAACTGTGCCCTCACATAAACACATTAAAAAATACTATATTTGGATAGAACACTGGGACTATGTTATTACAGATTTAAAAATCTTTTCTTATGCTTGCACAATTTTACTCCTAATAAAATACACTATTTCAGGTTAGACGACAAGGTGAAGTGGTTCAAAAATTGGCTCATATGATAGGAAACAGTGTTAAACTGTATGACATGGTTTTACAGTTTTTAAGAACCCTATTTCTACGTACAAGAAATGTGCATTATTGCACCCTCAGAGCAGAACTGTTAATGGCATTGCATGATTTAGAAGTACAAGATATTATTTCCATTGATCCTTGTCACAAGTTTACATGGTGTTTAGATGCATGTATAAGAGAGAAAAATGTTGATATAAAAAGATCCAGGGAATTACAAGGTTTTTTGGATAATGTTAAAAGGGGACAAGAACAAGTTCTGGGTGACTTATCTATGACTCTTTGTGATCCCTATGCTATTAACTTTTTGGCTACTTCAGCTATAAGGATTTTGCATCATTTAATTTATAATGAGCAAATGCCTAGGGTAAGGATCAACTTTTTTATAAATAAATATAGTATATTACACTACAAAGGAGGAAAGTAGATTTTACAAGTCGAGGATGAGTTTGTGCTCATGCTTGAGGGGCTTAAAACTTACCTGCTGCTTGGTGTATAACATTTATCTGCTCCCCCAGCTAGGTTTTATAATGAAACTTTCATGTAATAAAAATAATTATTTTATCAATTTATTTCAATACTGACACTAAGAAATTTTTTGACATTAAAGGATGTCACGGAGTCTGCTATGCTTTTGTTATTATATTAAGACGTTTACCCAGGTAGGTAAGTGACTCACTTACCTCCTGTTGTCAATAGCAACCAGCCTTTCACGGCAAATTCAACTTACTTACCAGTTATAAAACAATGTAACAATAGTGTAGTTACCACAGTAGGAGCAGATAAAATAAATTTATTTACAAAAATTATTTTATGGAAGTATTCCCTTTAGCTTTAGCTTCGGCTTCCGCCACCTTCGGCCAAAAAAGCACATTCGGTCGCACATTCGGCTTTGGCCAAAACCAGCCGAAGGATTTTTGCCGAAGCCGAAGGTTTGTGTCCAGCCGCCGGCTGGCAGCCGGCCAGCCTCCGAAACTGAACGAAAGAAATATTACGATTTACGAATGACGCCGACTTCAGCGCAACGCGTGGTTCCTGCTTCCCGCACGCATCGCGATTGTTTAGACTAGTTCGGACGGCCGACACGGCGTTGTTTAAAGTTCACTATTTATATTGTTATATAATTTTTTTAAGTCTTAATAAACCTTTGGCATCGGCCTAAGGTTACGACAAGAGCCGAACCTTCGGCCAAAAACCGACATTCGGTTTAATTATATATATAATTCCCTTATGTTCAAATATAATAATTATAATCATATTTATTGATTATCCAAAGGGCTAGCGACCTTGGTCTTTCTGCCCGTTTTGTACACTAACTTATAATACCTATATTACAATTTTAATATATATATATATATATATGTTAGGGAACTCGTTGAGTGACAAGTTGGTTGCCTAAACAAGCTTGGGTGGAATATATATATATATATATATATATATATATATATATATATATATATATATATATATTACGTTGGGATAGTTTATAAACTAGCTGGATAGTTTATAAACTAGCCAAACTGTCAGCTATTTTAATTGAAAACATATTTTCAACTAAATTAGCGGCTAGTTTACAAAATAACCAAGGATCTTGGCTAATTTACTTGAAATTATTAGGGAAACTAAAATAGCTGGATAGTTTGTATACTATCCAATTCAATTTGGCTAATATGAAAACCAAAATTTCTAGTAACCCAAAATAGCCAAGCTTTAGCTAGTTTGTAAACTAACCAACTAATTCTCTGGCTATTGCCCATTTTAGTTGGGTTTTTTTGCTCAATGGGACGGGGGGCCCAATGGGGCGGGGGTCGGTTGGGTTGTGTTGTTGAGTTTGGGTTGGTTTGGGTTTTTTCTCTCATTTTTGACCATTTGACCAATGGGGCGGGGTCGGTAGGGTTGTGTTGTTGAGTTTTCTAACAAGGAAGCGTTAAAATTTTGCCTATGATTCATTTTAAAAACGTTAAAATGCACAAAACAAATCCGATTAAGCCGGCAAAACAAAAAACAATGCCGTAATCTCACTTTTTTAATAAATTATCCAGAGAATTGGTTGGTTAGTTTACAAACTAGCTAAAGCTTGGCTATTTTGTGTTACTAGAAATTTTGGTTTTTATATTAGCCAAACTGAATTGGATAGTATACAAACTATCCAGCTATTTTAGTTTCCCTAATAATTTCAAGTAAATTAGCCAAGATCCTTGGTTATTTTGTAAACTAGCCGCTAATTTAGTTGAAAATATGTTTTCAATTAAAATAGCTGACAGTTTGGCTAGTTTATAAACTATCCAGCTAGTTTATAAACTATCCAAGTTTGCACATTAGCCATAACATATATATTATATAATAAGTTTGACATCACGATTCAAGAAGAATGTGAAAAAGTGGTGTTGTTGGATGAAGCTGTTTTGTTTGATTGGTGGGTGTTTCATATCTAAGCATAATTTGAATGTTATCCATATTTTGGGTTTCTGAATTTTTTGATAAGTTTTTTCATTCTCGATGCCCGTTTTCTTGTATAAAACGTTATTTGATGGGTTTTTTAAGTGGTGTCGCATGTTTGTTATTGTTCTGAGGCTTTTTGTCTGCTACAGTTGTATTCATTAAAAAAGCGTACAAGAATTAGAATAAGGCGTATTATTATACTGCAAAAGCGACTTAACTGAAAAAAAAATATTTTGTGTTTTATTTTTAAATATTTCTATATATATTTCTATTATCGAGTGAACTACCCTAATAAAGTGTGTTTTAATAGGAAGAGTAGTTACTCCTATATTAAAATACTTTATCTGGCTAGTTTACTCGATAAGGGCATAATCACGGTGCTGTTCTGAGAGGTGATTTTTGGACTTTCTGTGAAACCTAATTTTTTTTATATTCTTGTTAATTAGGTCATAACTAAAATTTTAAGAGCAAAATAAAAAAAAATTGACGGTTTGAATTGTTTTAATTGGTTGTTTATTAAAAATATTATGCACACTTTCAATTCTCCAATTAAAACTTGCGATTTTATTTAAATATTATCATAACTTTTTAAATCAGATTAAAGATTAGTTAATTTCCTTAAAAAAGGTCTATACAGGGGCGTGCTGGCTATATCAGACCGGCCCGGGAAATTCAGAAAAATCGGCCAACTACACACGAAAAATGGGGGGTGAACAAAACCAAGTTAAAAAATTTCAAACATTTATTAATATATTAATAATTAATATATTAATAATTTCGGCTGAAGGACTACGGTCAATAGCGTTTGAACTTGGTTTTAGTTCAATAAAGCATTATTATTATTATTATTAATAATTAATAACATAAAGTATAAATTAAATTCTTGAACAAAAAAAACAGGCAACAAACACAACCAGACAATATTTTACACAATGCTAAAACATATAGCATTGCACTTAAAATAAAAACTAATACAAATTATCATCGCTCAGGAAACTTATAAACAATATACAATCTCGAAAAAAGAAACAAAGCTGGCAGGCTGGCATGCATGGTATGTGTAAAATAATTATGATATTTATACATAACTCAACTAAAAAAGTTTTTAATTGACCACGTGCTGCGGCATGCTGCCTACATAGCCCTCCGGCACACCGGCCCACTTAGCCCTCCGGACCACCGGGATTTCTCCCGGTGTCCCGGCGGCCCAGCACACCCCTGGGTCTATACATTTTTTATATCTTTTACTGTTTTGTTGTAATACACGTTTAAAGTTTTAATTTAAGGTTAAATGTATAGTATACATTTATTAAACAATAATTCTAAGGGTGCCACATTTTATTTAGGGCCGATTTATTCATTTTTGATTTATTTGGCGAATAATTTCTTTGGATACTAGATATTGCCAAGACATGAAAGTTATCGGCCCGATAAACTTTACAAAAGATCCCAGCTAACAAAGTGGTGTTCAAGTTGATATCAATGCGAGCTCAAGACTTGATTTTATACATCAAGCTTTGAGGTCAAAAACATATCAAGTTGGTTCCTCATTTGGGCTCAATGTGATATCAAACCTTGATTTTCGATTAAATTAGAATCGGATGCGCGCATGCGCTGCCTACTTTTGGCGGATTAATTCAAATATTTGAAAAAATCAAGTTATGGGTTTTGAAAGGAAAAAATACTGTTTATTTGATGCAAACATATCTAAATAATTACCAACTTAAATGCTAGCATTTAAATTGATAATTTTTTTAAATTTGGATATGTTTGCATCAAATAAACAGTCCTTTTGCCTTTCAAAACCCATAATTATATATAGTTATTTAGGTTTTCTTGAATAAAATAAAATAGGCAATTAAAACACAACCAAAATTTATAAACAAAATATTAAAATATACAAAAAACAATTTTTAAATTTGCTCCTTTTCAACAGTATCCTTATTAACTCTGTATACAAAACTATAGTTTTGAGGATTATCATTTGTTGCTTCACTTTCTGCTGTTTTTTTAATTTGTTTGCCTCACGTTGTCTGTTGATTCTTAATGCTTCTTGAATGTGTGGCAAGAAGTCTTTATTTGATGTTGGGCCTTCAAAACAAGACCCTGTACAGCAACTGTAACAGAAGAAATTGCCAATGAAAACTAAAACTTAATGAAAAAAGGATGAAAACATTGACTTACACAATAGATTTAATCTAATAGACTATTAGATTACGTGAAATAATTTTGTATCCTTTTATTATTATTTCCCAGAAAGGTTAACTCCATTGTCAAAATATTAGTTATCGCTTCTTTAAGAGCTGTAATTTGTATCAATGAAGGCCCTTTTATTATTATTTCCCAGAAAGGTGAACTCCATTGTCAAAATATCAGTTATCGTTTCTTTAAGAGCCATATTTGCACCAAGATTTTTAGGTAAATGAACTGCAATAAAATTTTATCTTTAATATAAACACTGGCACACATTCAACATATCGTCACCCTAATATAACAAGGTTGTATGTTAAAAAACCGAAAAATTTGAGTTTATGCTTCTACAAGGTTTTATGTAATCCACCCTTGACATACAACTTAAGTGGTATGTGAAGCGTAGGCCAAGTATAATCCTGTAGACACATAGACTTAAATTTTTCGTTTTTTTTAACATACAACCTTGTTATATTAGGTTGACGATATTTCAACCCACCAGACTTTTTCTTTCATTAAGTGTTTCACTGGACTTAAACTGGTTAAATTCTGCCCAATTTTTCAATGGAAATCCCTTCAACTGTTGGATGCTGGAAAACTGGTCCCCTCATACAAAGCATCAATTCTGTTTGACAAAGCTTTGAAGAATTTCCCTAAGAGAAATAATTCAGGTTAAGTTTTAGAAAACTGCATTTTCAACAGTAGGTATTTATAGTATATATTTACCTTTGATTT